TCTGTGTTACATCTGTGTTACGTCTATGTGTTACATCTGTGTTACATCTGTGTTACATTTGTGTTACATCTGTGTTACGTCTATGTGTTACATCTCTGTTGCATCTGTGTTACATCTGTATTACGTCTGTGTTACATCTGTGTTACAGCTATGTGTTACATCTGTGTTACGTCTATGTGTTACATCTGTGTTGCATCTGTGTTACATCTGTGTTACATCTATGTGTTACATCTGTATTACATCTGTGTTACGTCTGTGTTACATCTGTGTTACGTCTATGTGTTACATCTGTCTTGAATCTGTGTTACATCTTTGTGCTACATCTGTGTTACATCTATGTGTTACATCTGTGTTGCATCTGTGTGTTACATCTGTGTTGCATCTGTGTTGCATCTGTGTTACATCTGTGTTACGTCTATGTGTAACATCTGTGTTGCATCCGTGTTACATCTGTGTTACATCTATGTGTTACATCTGTGTTGCATCTGTGTTACATCTGTGTTACACCTGTGTTACGTCTATGTGTTACGTCTATGTGTTACATCTGTGTTACATATATGTGTTACATCTGTGTTACGTCTGTATGTTACATCTGTGTTACATCTGTGTTACGTTTATGTGTTACATCTGTGTTGCATTTGTGTTGTATCTGTGTTACATCTGTGTTACGTCTATATGTTACATCTGTGTTACGTCTATGTGTTACATCTGTGTTGCATCTGTCTTACATCTGTGTTACGTCTATGTGTTACATCTGTGTTACGTCTATGTGTTACATCTGTGTTGCATCTGTGTTGCATCTGTGTTACATCTGTGTTACGTCTATGTGTTACATCTTTGTTACGTCTATGTGTTACATCTGTGTTGCATCTGTGTTACATCTATGTGTAACATCTGTGTTACGTCTATGCGTTACATCTGTGTTGCATCTGTGTTACATCTGTGTTACATCTGTGTTACATCTGCTGATACTTCCTGGTTACACCTCAGTCCGGCTGACCAGTCTGTATATTGATTGTCTAACGGTAAGCTGTTTAAGCCTCTTGCTGCCCTAATATATAACACCCGTGAAGATCAAGGTTAGAATTTGTCTTCAGCAACCCATGCTTGTCCGAAGAGGCGACTAACGGGATCGGGTGGTCAGGCTCACTGACTTGGTTGACACATGTCATTATATCCCAATTGCGTAAATCAATGCTCATGGTGTTGATCACTGGATTGTCTGGTTCAGACTCGATAATTTACAGACCGCCGCCATATAGCTAGAATATTACTGAGTGCGGCGTAAAACTAAACTCACTCACCCTAGTATATAACATGTATAGACGGAGGTTACGCCTCAATCAACTCAACTTTAATGTAGTCCACCCCTTTTACCCAATGTTTTATATGTGTATGTATATTGTAATATGTTTTTTATCAGGCCATTTCTGCTATGTATTCGTATGAGCACGTGACACCGAAATAAAATATTTTCTTCTTCTTCTACTTCTTCTTTCTTCTTCTTTCTTCTATGATAACGTTTGAGCACTCCTCTAAAAGATAGCCACGTGATCATGCCTTCTCACGAACTCTAAGATTGATTCAAGGACACAGCAGCGAAGGTGAATCACCGATAATGCATTCGAGAAGAGCCGACTGGGACGGAGATTGACCCAGCAACTATATAGCTGGTAACTCGTTTCACGTAACCGACACTGCACAAGTAACTACTGATAGCGTCTACCGCTTTTACTTCCCAACAGAGCTCACTCCAAATAGAAACACAACACACTCAGAACATTGGAACGGCCGCTCGGCGACACATGGCAGATTTATTCCGTTTTACAAAATCCTCATATAACCACATTCCAGCAAAATTCAGCACTTATAACAAGATAAGTACATCAATCAACGTGCAATATGACGTCATCGTGTTCAGTAGAACTAGCCCGCCACATAAACCAGAGATAACAACTCATACATGAGAAAAGAACCGGGAACTGTGCCCTCCCGACGGATGCTAAAGCTCTTACTAGGAAGTTTATAGTATTTACAACATGATGCAAAATGAAACAAACATTGTCTCACCACAGGACAACAATGTCATAACAGTATTCTCAAGGCTCTGCAGCCTAGTTTGCAAAACATTGCTGCTCATAATATACTAACAATTATAATACATTCAGTGTATAACAGGATATTATAAAGGCTTCGCATCCTGGCATGTGAATCAAACAAAGTCACAACACATCAGTGTTATAAAGGCTCTGCAACCTAACCATACACGGTAGAATATATGAGCAAATCAGCTGTACATACCAAACTTGGTTTACTATCCATGAAGATAACAGGAATTAAACCTGTTTACAAAATGCATCGAGTGCACATGACTCCAGACACCAAACAATGCTCACAAGCACCACACTGTGCTTAATTCACAACCATCACGGTCAAATACAACCGACACCTGCAACAATAAAACAAAATATGAGATATTATGCATATGAAATATAGATATATACATATATACATGAAATTAAAGGAAATAAAAGTTAAATGATGTGAACACTGCCGTGTCTAGAGCGAGAGAGACGATATTTGAAATTTATCTTCATTTATACCTTAAACAGCGCAACCTGTCGGACAAAATTACCTCCCTTGGTAGATTCGCATACCATCAAGGAGAAAATAGTTTCTATCTAGTTCATTTCATTCAACCGAAAGAAACAATATATATCACATACCTGGTATGACCTGAGCTGGTGACGAACTGCTACAGAAATATCATCCGGTGAATGCAAGGACGATTTTAATGTATATTTTCTTTATCATGTTGCTAAACCAAGACTAGAGTTGGTGACGAACTGCTACAGAAATATCATCCGGTGAATGTAAGGACGATTTTAATGTATATTTTCTTTATCATGTTGCTAAACCAAGACTTGAGTTGGTGACGAACTGCTACAGAAATATCATCCGGTGAATGCAAGGACGATTTTAATGTATATTTTCTTTATCATGTTGCTAAACCAAGACTAGAGTTGGTGACGAACTGCTACAGAAATATCATCCGGTGAATGTAAGGACGATTTTAATGTATATTTTCTTTATCATGTTGCTAAACCAAGACTTGAGTTGGTGACGAACTGCTACAGAAATATATCAAACTAAAAATACATGAAATTCATTTTGAGTTCTTTCAATAATCAGCTATTGCTGGTAGAGGATTTAAAAGTTTTAACTCGATCCAGTGGTTTCCAAATGTTCTTTAATCTCAAGTTCCAAGCTTTTCTTATGGCACTTCTTCTAAATTCAATCCAAACAATAAAAGAATAACAGTAACTTGACAGTGACTAGACAATGTCTAGACAATGACTGAACAGTGGCTGGACAGGTTGAAAAACCGTATGTCTTCTGAGCCCACAACACACAATCCTATAAGGCTCTCTTAGAAACTTAAAACATGTGTCTTACACTTCTTCGGTATCTTAAGGCTCTCTGCCTATTTCTCACACGCTTTCGTTTTACATGTGTATCTTAAATTCTTTGTCGGAGACTTATCGTTGTTGATCAGGTCCGAACCCATAGGACCCCACAAAGACAATTAGTCTGTTAGTCTTAGTTAGTGTCACCAATCCTGGGAAAGTAGCCTCAGACATCAGCTGGCACCTTCAATAAAGTGCAAAGCCAATTTACAGTTTGTACATCTAATCAGATCAATATCGCCTTGTTTATACCTTGTTATAAATTGTGTCGGGAAAGTCTCAATTTACAATGGCCATTACCCAATCATTATTTTCTAATGATGTTAAATATTTCTCCACTTCTATAGCTGAATTAATAACATAAAAAGGATTAAGATGAAATACTATTGTGCCAGTTTTGATAATACATATCGTGTAATCGTTGTTTTAATGAAAATAGAAATACCTTTACTTCACCAAAGTCTTGTGCAATCAAACAAAAGAATACCCACAAGCACAAAGCAAAGATCTAACATTTGAAAAACAATGTACAACTGGTCTTGCCATTATCACCAAGAGTTTTTAATAAACTTCATAGCATTCATCAGGATATCGTTCCATGTTTAGTAATTTACATCAATATTTAACCATGCAAAGGTGGCTGAGATAGAAAAGAAGATGACGCCCAGTATGGCCTAAAATGGCCTTATTAGATTAGTCAACTGATGGCAGTACAGAGAAGCCATCTGTACAATATAGCTGCCTTCTAACCATCCCAGCTAAGTGTGTGTTCACACGTAGGAAATGTTGCCACTGTTGCCACCAAACACACTCAGCATGTGGCCACTGTGCTGCAAATGTACACTGGGTACAAAAACGAGAAGAGTGTTATTGTTTTTATCCAGGAGTACGGAACAGTTTCATTGAGCTGGAATTGAAGCGGAATTGAGTCTGAATCAGAAAAAAGTTGTGCCAACCACATACTGTGTGGTACCACTGCTGACTAAAACCAAACTGTTTTGCTGTTACGCTTCGTCCATATCGTTCAGTTCTTTCTGACACCCGTTTAGAAGTTGACTTGGGAACACCAAAAGAGAATGTCCGTTGCGTAAGGGAGTTAGCACTGTGGTGAAGTGACTTAGAGTGCTCCTTGTTCAGGTGTTATCAGATTACAATACATATTTGCTGGAGTCGACAGAAAGTGTAAGCAGTTGACCAAATCTGTTGTTAAAACTGTCTGTCAATCATAGAAATACAATTCTGGCTGTGATGCTGTTAATCAGCTTAATATTTCGAAAATAATGTATTAATCACACAGTGCACCAAAACGCAATTTCATTCCGAAATCTTATCACTTGATATAATCATTCTTGTTCTGATTAATCTAAATTGTGTCATCAATAATCAGAATGTGTTGATAACAGGAGCTGGACAAGGGGATGATAGTAAAACATGTTGGCGAATATATAATTTGTTATGGTTTTTTTCTACAGGCAATAAGTCTACAACAGGATTGCAACGAATCTTTATAAATAGAAAAACACTGCATCAACAATGTCCACCAGGATACTCTTTTCAACGATAAGAAGATGTCACTGGTTGAACAAGGGATTTGCAGTTGTCCCAGTGAGATACTATGGAGATATTCCAAAAATATATCGCCCGTATGGAAAAACAGGTTACGGAAACTATGGATCAACACTCGGAAAACAAAATGTTGGATATGTCGAACCAGTGCGAGAACAGATTCTCAGTTTGGCCAAAACAATTCCTTTCACTGACAAGGACTCGGTCTTCAACATTGCCGACTATGGTGCAGCTGATGGTTCTACTGCGATGGCCATTTCCGGTGAGTTCCTGGCAAATCTGAAAGATCATCATGGCCCCAACACCCAGTTCCAGGTGATCTATGAAGACTTGGAAATGAATGATTTCAATTCCCTCTTCAAACGTATGTCAGGAATCATCCCTGATCCACCGTCCTACCTCCAGGAAATGGACAATGTCTGTGTTCTTGTTTCTGGGACAAACTTCTACAAGCAGTGTGTACCTTCAAACTCTATCCATTTCATGATGTCAATGACGTCTGTTCATTGGTTGTCAAGGACTGCAACCACCTTCAAAGACTCAATTTACAAAGATGCCAAGAGTAGTACTGAGGAGACAGCTGCACTAAACAAGCAAGCCGAGTTGGACTGGGAGATGTTTTTACTGAGAAGAAGTAGAGAACTGAAACGGGGAGGCTTACTTGTCGTAGGTACCTGCGCTGAGTTTGAGGACAGAAACACTGGAGAAAATAGATACATTGTGCAATCGTTTATAGGTGTGTACTGGCTGAGGTATGGAAGGAATACAGTATAACTGGTAAAATCACCAAAGATGAGTTCATAAATACAAATTTGTCCATCTGCTTTCCTAACATGGAGCAGGTCAGAAAACCATTCGATGACAAAACGTCTCCCGTTTCAAGTCTCTTGTCAGCTGAAGCTGTAGTGAGCCCTGAACAATTGGAGAGAGAAGAAAGACAAAGAAGGAATTGATGACAGGGAGTAGTTTGCCAGGATGTACACATCTGCTCATAGGAACTGGAGCAACAGTACTTTCATGAATGGTCTCTCAGATTCCCGATCACTGGAGGAGAAGAAGTAGATAGTTGATGGGTTGTACGACGACGTGAAGAAACGTATTTCAAGGATGAACCCTGAAATATTCAAGGACGATTTGAGATTTATGTATCTCGAGATCAGAAAAGAATAATCATCCAAGAAGTTATTTAAGAAGAGAAGCTCCCTCAGCATACAAACAGGAATATTATAACAGTTGCAAAATGTGTATATTTTTACCTAAAATTATTCAGATATTACTCAACAAAGTCGATTTTATATCTCTCACATTTTGTATTCACAAGTATTCATATTGTAACAGACTTGTTATCGGCAACTTGCGTAACTGACAGCTGTCTATGCTGCCGTTATCGCCCCATGCCGCTAAAAGCCTAATTGAGTATACACTCCAGTCTTTGTAGTGACCTGAGGCCACAAGGTTAAACAACACAGTCATTTGCCTTAGGCCACAAGTTTCAACGACACAGTCATCTGCCTTAGGCCACAAGGTTAAACAACACAGTCATCTCTCTTAGGACACAAGTTTAAACGACACAGTCATCTGCCTTATGCCATACGGTTAAACAACACAGTCATCTCTCTTAGGCCACACGGTTAAACAACACAGTCATCTGCCTTAGGCCACAAGATTAAACAACACAGTGATCTCCCTTAGGCCACACGGTTAAACAACACAGTCATCTGCCGTAGGCCATAAGGTTAAACAACACAGTCAGCTGTCTTACGCCACAAGGATAAACGACACAGTCATCTGCCTTAGGCCATAAGGTTAAATGACACAGTCATCTGTCTAAAGCCTCAAGGTTAAAAGACAGAGTCATCTGCCTTAGGCCACAGGGTTAAATGACACAGTCATCTGCCTGAGGCTACAAGGTTAAACGACACAGTCATCTACCTTTGGCCATAAGATTAAACAACACAGTCATCTCTTTTCTGCCACAAGGTTAAACCACACACAGTCATCTGCCTTTGGCCGCAAGGTTAAACAACATAGTCATCTGCCTTTGGCCACAAGGTTAAACGACACAGTCATCTTCCTTAGGCCATAAGGTTAAACAACACGTTCATTTGCCTTAGTTCACAACGTTAAACAACACATTCATCTGGCTTAGGCCATAAGGTTAAACATCACAGTCATCTGTCTTAGGCCACAAGGTTGAACGACACAGTCACCTTCCATAGCCGACAACGTTAAACATCACAAACATCTCCCTTAGGTCACAAGGTTAAACAACACATTCATCTGCATTAGGCCACAAGGTTAAACAACACATTCATCTGCCTGAGGCCACAAGGTTAAACAACACAGTCACCTGCCTTAGGCCACAGTGTTAAATGACACAGTCATCTGCTTGAGGCTACAAGGTTAATCGACACAGTCATCTACCTATGGCCATAAGATTAAACAACACTGTCATCTCTGTTAGGCCACAAGGTTAAACCACACAGTCATTTGCCTTAGGCCACAAGGTTAAACGAAACTGTCATCTGCCTTAGGCAATAAGGTTAAACAACACTGTCTTCTACTTTAGGCCACAAGGTTAAACAACAAAGTCTTCTATCTCAGGACACAAGGTTGAACGACACAGTCATCTGCCTTTGACCGCAAAGGTTAAACGACACAGTCATCTGCCTTAGGCCACAAGGTTAGACGACATAGTCATCTGCCTTAGCCAACAAGGTTAAACGACACAGTCATCTGTCTTACGCCACAAGGTTAAACGACACAGTCATCTGCCTTAGGCCACAATGTTAAACGACACAGTCATCTGTCTTAGGCCACAAGGTTAAACGACACATTCATCTCCCTTAGGCTACAAGGATAAACGACACAAGGATAAACGACACAGTCATCTACTTTTGGCCATAAGGTTAAACAACACAGTCATCTCTCCTAGGCCACAAGGTTAAACGACACAGTCACCTGCCTTAGGCTACAAAGTTAAACCAAACAGTCATCTCTCCTAGGCCACAAGGTTAAAGAAGACAGTCATCTACTTTAGGCTTCAAGGTTAAACAACAAATTCGTCTATTTAGGCCACAAGGTTAAACGACACAGTCATCTGCCTTTGGCCACAAGGTTAAACAACAAAATCATCTGCCTTAGGCCACAAGGTTAAACAATACATTCATCTGCCTTAGATCAGAAGGTTAAACAGCACAGTCATCTGCCTCAGGCCACAAGGTTCAACAACACAGTGCTCTGCCTTAGGCCACAAGTTTAAACAACACATTCATCTGGCTTAGGCCTTAAGGTTAAACATCACAGTCATCTGTCTTAGGCCACAAGGTTAAACGACACTGTCACCTTCCATAGGCGACAAGGTTAAACATCACAGACATCTCCCTAAGGTCACAAGGTTAAACAACACATTCATCTGCCTGAGGCCACAAGGTTAAACAACACAGTCATCTGCCTTAGGCCACAAGTTTTAACGACACAGTTCTCTGCCTTAGGCCACAAGGTTAAACAACACGGTCATCTCTCTTAGGGCACAAGGTTAAACGACACAGTCATCTGCCTTATGCCATACGGTTAAACAACACAGTGATCTCCCTTAGGCCACAAAGTTAAACAACACAGTCATCTGCCTTAGGCCTCAAGTTTCAACGACACAGTCATCTGCCTTATGCCATAAGGATAAACAACACATTGATTTTCCTTAGTCCACAAGGTTAAACAGCACAGTCATCTGGCTTAGGCCATAAGGTTAAGCATCACAGTCATCTGTCTTAGGCCACAAGGTTAAACAGCAGAGTCATCTGCCTTAGGCCATAAGGTTAAACAACACAGTCATCTGCCTTAGGCCATAAGTTAAACAACACAGTCATCTGCCTTAGGCCATAAGGTTTAACAACACAGTCATCTCTCTTTGGCCACAAGGTTCAAAAACACATTCATCTGCCTTAGGCCACAAGGTTCAACAACACAGTGCTTTGCCTTAGGCCACAATGTTAAACAACCCGTTCATTTGCCTTAGGCCACAAGGTTAAACATCACAGACATCTCCCTTAAGTCACAAGGTTAAACAACACATTCATCAGCCTTAGGCCACAAGGTTAAACAACACAGTTATCTGCCTTAGGCCACAAGGTTAAACAACACAGTCATTTGGCTTAGGCCATATGGTTAAACATCACAGTCATCTGGCTTAGGCCACAAGGTTAAGCGGCACTGTCATCTGCCTTAGGTCACAAGGTTAAACATAACATACATCTCTCTTAGGCCACAAGGTTAAACAACACAGTCATCTGCATGAGACCACAAGGTTAAACAACACAGTGATCTCCCTTAGGCCACAAGGTTAAACAACACAGTGATCTCCCTTAGGCCACACGTTTAAACAACACAGTCATCTGCCGTAGGCAATAAGGTTAAACAACACAGTCAGCTGTCTTACGCCACAAGGTTAAACGACACAGTCATCTGCCTTAGGCCAAAAGGTTAAACGAAACAGTCATCAGCCTTAGGCCATTAGGTTAAACAACACAGTCATCTACATTAGTCCACAAGGTTAACCAAGAAAGTCGTCTATTTTAGGCCAAAAGGTTAAACGACACAGTCATCTACCTTTGGCCGCACGGTTAAACGACACAGTCATCTCCCTTAGGCCACTAGGTTTAACGACACAGTCTTCTGCCTTAGGCCACAAGGTTAAACACCACATTCATCGGCCTTAGACCAGAAGGTTAAACAGCACAGTCATCTGCCTCAGGCCACAAGGTTCAACAACACCGTGCCCTGCCTTAGACCACAAGGTTAAACAACACGTTCCGTTGCCTTAGTTCACAAGGTTAAACAACACAGTAATCTACTTTAGGCCTCAAGGTTAAACATCACAGTCATCTGTATTATGCCATACGGTTTAACAACACAGTCATCTCCCTTACGCCACACGGTCAAACAACACAGTCATCTGCCGTAGGCCTCAAGTTTCAACGACACAGTCATCTCTCCTAGGCCACAAGGTTAGACAACACAGTCATCTCTCTTAGGGCACAAGGTTAAACGACACAGTCATCTGCCTTATGCCATACGGTTAAGCAACACGGTCATCTGCCTTAGGCTACAAGGTTAAACAACACAGTCAGCTGTCTTACGCCACAAGGTTAAACGACACAGTCATCTGATATAGGCCACTAGCTTTAACGACACAGTCATCTGCCTTAGGCCACACGGTTAAATGACAAAGTCATCTGCCTGAGGCTACAATGTTAAACGACACAGTCATCTACCTTGGGCCATAAGATTAAACGATACAGTCATCTGTCTTAGGCCACAAGGTTAAACGACACAGTCATCGGCCTTAGGCCACAAGGTTAAATGACACAGTCATCTGCCTTATTCCATACGGTTAAACAACACAGTCATCTGCCTTAGGCCTCAAGTTTTAACGACACAGTCATCTGCCTTATGCCATAAGGTTAAACAACACATTGATTTTCCTTAGTCCACAAGGTTAAACAACACAGTCATCTGGCTTAGGCCATAAGGTTAAGCATCACAGTCATCTGTCTTAGGCCACAAGGTTAAACAGCAGAGTCATCTGCCTTAGGCCACAAGGTTAAACAACACAGTCATCTGCCTTAGGCCATAGGTTAAACAACACAGTCATCTGCCTTAGGCCACAAGGTTCAACAACACAGTGCTTTGCCTTAGGCCACAAGGTTAAACAACACGTTCATTTGCCTTAGGTCACAAGGTTAAACATCACAGTCATCAGCCTTAGGCCACAA